ATTTCCCAATAGCTAGGATCACATTAATTCAAAATGTAACGCAACGTACTGCTTCTTTCGTTCGTATGACATTTTTATATCAAAATAGCTTTTGCCCGCGGCTTCACCCTTGAAATTTATTTTGTCACAGATCGTGATAAATTACCTATAGCCTATATGTTATTCTGAGTTATAAACAATAATACTGTAAAGTTTTAACAAAATCCGTTCAGTAGTTTTTGTGTGAAAGAAACAAACATCCAGACATCCAAACTTTCGCATTTATAATATAGCAGGATAATGAATTTTCCGTTTGTCCCACGGAACCCTGAAAGTATGTGAAAATAAAGTAGTTTACGATATTTTCGCTGTCGAAATCATGCAGTAAAAGTAGATCTATTGCATTTGCTGCAGTGCTTTCAGTGCCAACTTTTTTTCGATATTCGCTGATGTGATTTAGAGCTGATGTGAGAGCGATTTTATTTTTCGTTATAATGCATTGCACGCTGTTAAATTTTTCAGCAATTTATTTTTGGTTCGATACCTAATGTATATTTAAAGTAGTGATTAACACTTTCACAGACAGTAAGCCAGCTACAATAGAAGTTTAATTGTTTTGAATGCATAACTTTAGAAAGATTTAAATCATTTGATATGCGAGTACCTACCCATGTTTACGTGATGACATTATACCAATAAATGTTCCTTCTTTTGATTAAAAATTTTGCAAGTTACAATATAATTTTTGGTTGGTAAAATATAGTTATCCAGTTACATTGTATTTCATGGAATAATTTTAGTTATTTATTTAATTTCTGCATAACTATTTTATTTTAAAACCACAGTGAAATGATCATTTTCATACAAAATAAATGCTTTCCATTCATGACTTTTCAATGGAATTGTTATAATAACCAAAACCCCACAACGCTCGGGTGCAAAACTAATAAATTAACAGCACAGAAATTTAATTTTGGCCGAAACCGTTTTAACCGCGGTTGGACTGGCAACAACAGTTGTGTGCGCTACAAAAATGTTTTAATATTGAAATATCAATAAAGCCGAAGTCACACGATACGGTTTGTTCTAGTGGGGATATAGATCTGGTACCCTTATCATCATTATTTAAATTGAGAAATTTCTAGATAACGCTTGCGGCTCGCTGCGCTCGGTTTTACCTCATCGGACTAACGGAATTAGTACCAACAAACCACAACTAGAGTTACAATGTTCAGATTATTCCTAGGTAGAAGGAGGTTTGTTGTTATTGGAGAGACTCGGGAAATATTTACTTGATAATATAAGTTTTGAGTTTCTTGTGTTGAAATTAAAATATGGGTAGGCATAACCAAATTCACATCGTATAACGTACTCTACATGGTCTCATTTAAAGCAAAATGTTGACTTATTTATTATACCACAATATTTACCACATCATAATAACGGTAGTGGTAGTGGTTAATAAAATATTACATTGATGATGGCAACAGCTCACCAGTCATCAATTTTGTCAATTATTATTACTAGTTAATGATAAAATAAATAATGCTTTTAACGTTTGAATTATGAGAGTTTATTAAAAGATGCATTTTTATCTACGATATGAACATTTCGATGTTAAAAGTTGCGATTTTGTTACACAATTAATGTGTCGATATTTATAAATAATTAAAATGTGCTTTAATTGCTACACCTAAATAACGAGTTCCAGTTTCCAGGTCAACTATAGCAAAACTGAAAACAAAATTTTAGTAAAATTTTCTGTAGCTAATAAAAGTTGCGGAACAGGTTAACGATGTTAAATTTGTGTGAAAACCGCTTGAAAGCTGTCGTAAAGCAACTATAATACGCAAGTTAAGTCAGTTATAAACATTTTGAAATAAGTTAACATTCAGTACACAAAATTCTCACCATTGTTTGAAAATTCAAAATACACATTATTATGATTGCTTGTCACTACATAAATGGTATTCAAAGCGGTATAATTAAAAAATTTCCATATAAAATCTGACATTGTGTATCAGTGGGTTATTTTAATATTTGAATATAGGAAATGTTTCAAATCTAGGCAGTTTTGGATGTCATATTACTTATTATATGGGGCTTCGGAAATAGGTAAGAACAAACTTACTGAATCTTAATTTATATTTTGCATTAGGTACAGAATATTAAAAAAACTTGAAGAACTTAAATAACTTAATCCGAGCTCTACAGAAACTCTACAGAATACCGCATGGACTGAAATTCAGTAACAATAGGGCATAATTTTAACTAGATAAGCACGACTTAGAAATTATCTTTACATTAAAGTGAGCGTTACATAAATCGAGTGCTTTATTGCGTACGGTACCGTATCCTTACCATCTGTTACATTTTATAATTTCTGTAATCGCCGCATCATATATTCAGAATGTGATTCAAGGGGGAGTTTTTGAGGGAAAAATTAAATTATAATTTCATGAGATCCTTATACTTTTAATCTAACCAGCGCTTGCAAAGTTTGTCGATCTGCAACGGCGTATATTCGACAGCACATCAAGCTAGACTGTCGTACCTTGTGTAGTTGAAATAAGGGCGATTTTTCAACGAAAATGTATGGTCTGACGTGCTGTCGTCGGTACATTCAAATTAACTTTGTCTTCGGGGGAAATCCGCCCGTTTTTGTATTCACGTTTGAAATGAGATTTATGTCATTTATTCATTGAAATACGTGTCGTGTAATAGGGGCTTTATACGTAATACTTTGCTCGCAATGGAACAAACGATAAAACTGTATACGAGCTAAATGTTGAGAACTTTCGCAACAATCTGAGCCTAATACCACTTGTTGGTTCCTTATCGAATTAAAACTTTACAATCCAATTAGATTCTTGAAGCGGTCCAATTTTTGTTTTAAAGGATTTTGATTAAATCTGTGGCCTGCCTACCTATTTTATAGTGAGTTTTCTCTGAATACTTTAACAAACTCTTTAAAAAAGTAAAATCTTTAAAAAATTCAATCAAAAGTAACTAGGTATACTCTAATTTTATTAACATTCATTGACTGTAGATTAGTACAAAAATAATAGAAAACCTTAGTAGAAAAATACACTTAAGAAAATTATAGGTACATTTTCTTTTTATACACACGCACCTCGTACCAACTTTATAGGGCATTTTCTGGAATGGCACCCATCAACACCCCCATGCTTTTAAGATTATATCGATTCATTAGTCGCTCCATTGGTTGTAAATCGTAGACGATTACAATGCACTTACTTTTTATTGAATGACGTTGCACACATTCGTACATACCTATTTGATTCGTTACAAAAATGTTCGATAGGATATTCTGTTAATATTTACAAAACCTAAATACGAGTATCTTTACAGGATTTCAATCATTGAAGCGATAGTCAATAAAATGAAATTCCTATCGGCACTGGAACGTTTCAGAACTGTCTATAAGCGAGTAGATATTTCACAATTTTTATTGTTTGTTAAAAAATTTTATTTTTTTATTTTATTTTATTTTTAGGAAAACAAACAGCATTCTATACCACACATAAAATATAAACGTAGAGCCAAGCTGTTTGATAAACGAGCAAGATCCGAACACAATTCAGAAGAATAAGATTGCATATCTTGAATTTATCAACGTTTGCTAGAGATGGATGAAGCGAAGGGTTTAATGGACATTTTGGCTGACGGTTCACTGGGTTTCGTTGGAAGAAAAATAATCTCAGCTTTTTCTTATTCATTATACCTACCTTCAGGGTAGATCCTGTGTGAATTTGTACTTATAAAATCTACACGACAATGATATGGTAACATCTAATTTTACAGTATAACGTATACTTATACTATAATTATATTGTTGAGAAGTTTGTCGTTAAGAGCAAGGCAAATAAATTTATTTGCAAACTGTGAAGAATTCAACATAGCTTTCAGAGAATCCAAGTATTGGTAATCAAGGTAATTGAGAATTACTCGTATATCCTGATATAATAGGTAGGTTGTTTATAATACTTATTAGTAGAAGTTTTTCGGCATCTGATCTGCTTTGAAATACTTGTAGTCTAAAAGCTACCCGTAGTCAGAGGCAAAGACATAGGTACTCGTACATGTATCTAGTAAACACAGTCACAAAGAAATACATAATCTCAAATTAAAAACGTAACTTACACAACCCCTGCTTAACAACGATTTATTCCACCAACATAAATTCACGTCCAAAGAATTAAGCATCAAATTGCTATCGAATATGTAAATAGATGTTCCACAGTAGGGTTGAACAGGCAAACTTATGCATGTACTTGTAAGCGGACGGTCTCCAGACTTCACGCCCGGGCGCAATAAACGCTTCCGTCTGCATCCCTCCATTGTCTCTTCGTCTCGGGGCCCGATTCGTGTATTTCTGTAGTATCTGCTGCTACAAGTCTCGGACAGGGCTGTTCCAAATCGTTTCAAACAAATAACGCCTCGCCTTTGTTCAAGAGACATCTCCCAAGGATATCCATAATGAGCTGATCCGGCGCTGATTCAACGTTTACCAGATTATCAATCCATCGAGAGGGAGACCGCTGCTTACATGCACTGGCATCTTTTGCCTTCGAGAACTTTTTTTTATCCACAACGAGCACATTCTTGGCCTACATCTCACCTGGCGAAAAGCCTCACCTTTTCTTTCCCGATGGCCATCTATTCAGTATCTGATCGTTTCTGTCTCAAACAATGCATCATGGAAAACATGCATCCTACGTCTATTGGAAGATAATAACTTGTAACTCTACCAACGATTATTAGTCGTTAGCTTATTTTAATTACTGTATTACTTCCAGTTCTTTAAAATCAACTTGATCACCGTCATAAAAATGCATGAAGCTAAAGACAGCAAAGTAGACCATAACATAGGTACCTACCTTAAGTGATTGGCGATATGGAGAGCCCCGTAATGGTTATTTGACGTCGAAATATTACGCTGTATGATGCACGCGCTAAATAAGATATTCAATGACATCCCTGCCACAGGTAAGAGAGGCATGTATGATAAGTTCCCGTCCCTGTCGCTCAAGTTCACAACGCAATACCTCAGGAACAATAGTGGTAATTATTGCACCGCTCATTTTCCAGCACACTGCGCCCAAATCACTACGGAAAACGGACAGAGTCGCATAATTTTCATTTCAATGGTAGATACTGATGTGTAGCTATGTTAAAAACACCTAACTTGTAGGTAAAAATAAGTTGGGTGATAGTTAAAACGAAAAACACATTTTTTGACTTTTCATAATTATATCCGATTCACGATAAACCTCGTGCAACTCAATTGTCAGTATTTCCTTTCAAATAAAACATGGTTTCCATAGGAAAAACGCGTGTTCCTTAATCGTCATCATCTGATCTTTTAGTCTCCCTGCATGCCCTCTCTAATTTTGCCCTCATTTGCAAACAAAAGAAACTTTTTCGGTGTTTCAGATATTCCATGAAAGATGGTGATCACTTATCTACTACTACTACTACTTCTATCAGGTGACCCATGAGCCCGGTCCACAAACCTATAGAAATAATATCTTACACATTTGAATTGTTAATATTTTCGACTTTAATAAGAAAACTTTCCCTTATCCTGGAAAAGTCGTTTTTCCGACCTCGCACTTTTTTGCTGGAATCGCAAACATTTTTAAACGAACATTGTTATACATCCACCCATAAGCTTGGATTAATTAAGGCAAGTTCCAAACAAGTTCGTCTAAATAGTTGAGAGCGGACTGGGTGCCGTGGGGCGTCAATTTTTAATTACCTACTACGACGGGTGAGAACCGAGTCATTGTACTGGGGAGTTACTCTGCAAAACGATATCGACCAGCCGTTTCTTTCACTCGTACACGAATACTAGAGAGAGTAAGAGAGATAGATAGAGTCGAAAGTGTCTAAAAAATCGATATAGAGTCGGAGCTAGTAGGTGTTAATAAATTAACAATATAAAATGTGAAAGTGGAAAAGTGCTCCGTGTTGGTTCTGTTTATTTACTGAACGCTGATTTCGAAGTTATATTACTTATGTAGTCGGTAGTTTTGATCTATTACTAGTTTTTAAAGGTTAACTTATTCAAAACGTATATTTTCATTTCAACGTTTTTTTTTGCAAAATCTCTACTTTATGGGTTGCCTTAAAGTAGAAATTGTTGTTGTGTGTTGTAGAAGATGTTGTTCTTCTTCACTATGATGTACTCGTAACCCATAGTTTAACTTTTCCTAATGGCATTCAAACGACTGTTCCATGACAAAAAGTATGTACTAGTACTACTCACCACTTCTCCAGAGACGTTGTTCAAACAAAGCTCGATATCAAACACCGAAGTTGACACAAACTATCCACAATCTACGTACATACAGGGTGTTTAACTTTCCGTCGGTTCGTCTTGCGGTATTCCGTTGAAAGTTGTCGTTGATTTTCCCCACGGTTGATTATTGTCAAAGTTAGTTCAGACTTCCAAGTTGTTCAGTTTACATTTCGCATGACGAATACTAAAATGCGGGCGCTTTAAACTTTCCAAATTAAGGAAAAAAGTAGTGCAACTCCAATTTTGAAATTTAAAAGTCCCATTCGAGGAATTTGCGTGGAATCAATAGTTTTTGTTTTGCTTGTGGTTCGGACTGGACTGGGTTTTGCGCGTAAAAATACTGAAAAAGTAGGTATACAGTGTGAGTCACGTTAAAGTGTACATATGAAAATAGATGAAACTAGACCTATTTTTATCGACAAAAAAGAGGTCAAAAATTTTTTGAGATTTTTTTTTAATTTTTTATAGAATTTTNTATTCATATATGAGATCAAAACGTTCAAAAGTTTGGCTGTACACGAGCACGTACACAAGATGTTGTTCTCTTTTAAGAAATTTGTTAGTACTAAGGTTGAATTATTAAATAATCACTGTTAAATGTGATTAATTTATCACTTTTACCGCGACTGTCGGTAATTATTCATAATAACCGGTTATTATTAATAATTTTCAATTTATCACATTAACCGTAACATATACAATGTCGAATTTTATGACGTCACGATAAAAAAAAGGAATGATGAAAATAAGCATTAGGTCTAGGATGGATGCTTGTGCTAAAAATGACTCCAAAAACTGGCTGCAGCCAAACTTAGACCTAGTTCAAAAGCCATGGAAATAAAAAATCAACTATAAAGCGATTTTGATTCAAACACTGTCAAAGAATGGACATGCAACACAAAATGTACACAATACGCATTCTTTATCGCTGTATAACATTCAAATTGGAATGAAACTTAAACAAACAGTACGTGTGAACCCGCGAGACTAACATAATCCAGATCAAACAAAAAACAATCGCTGCAATCCCAGCGCGCCGCTCGTAAACAAGACACCGCGGTATAAACATTGTGTAGGTCAATAATTAATAAATTCCGCTTACAATATTACGTTTACATTATTTTTGAATGAATTTGAACAGTATTCAAACAGACTGACGACCGTATTCACAAACGATGCTTGCTTAGGTGAAGGAGAAAATCGAACGCACAGCATTGAATAGAGCTCTGTGATTGGTCTGTGTCACTCTGTGCATCCACGCGCACTGTGAGACCTCAGTATTGTTTGTGAATACGGGCGTCAGTTCTAGATATAGATTTAGATCTTTTGAACTACTAAATGGATTTTAATGCGGTTTTTAACAATAGAGAGAGTGATTTAAAAGAAAGGTTTTAAAGTACATAAGAATTTTAAAGCACTGGTGTGAACTTGAGGCGGGTCGCAAGTTTGAGATAAGTACTTATTAGAGTTACATTTTCAGATTTAATAAAAAAATAAAACCATCAACAAAATCTTGAATTAATGATTTAAATAATCCTGTCATCATTTTAAAATAATCTCACTAAAGACTAGATCAAATCATTTCATGTATCAGCTCCATGTTTCCCGTTTGAACTATGCCCGAAGTGTGTATAGCAGCACTGGGAGCGTTCCCACTCAATGTCATAACTTCACGCTCGATTCCCCTTGTAAATTCAAATTTGCAGGAAAAGTTGCATCCGTCTCCCCGTAGACCTGCTGATTTAACCTTTTGACGTCGGAAACGGGTCGGAGTTCAGGGATGAAGCGTAACAATACCTGAATTGTAACGTGTTTGTCGTTTGGTTTGGAAAGTGTAATCAGAATGTTTTGGTGAGCTTAGAGATTTGTTTAAAATAATAAGTTTACAACTTCATTAAGGTATATTTAGTACGTTTCTTGAGCTTGGCATTTGGCAGACTGGCATCGACTCCGAGAATATCAATCTTTACTTGTAGTGTAGGTACTCTTTGGAGTCGGTTTAGTTTTTGAGGTCGGTTTTTTAAACGCAGTTTTTTTGTATTATTTATGTGAAAGTTCAATATTTTCTAAAAGGTATAAAAGGTGTATAATCCATAATTTATTCGACGAAAGAATTTTCTCTTTCCAACTTAATAATTTTTTTTACTAAAACAATAACCTAATGAGTAACAAAGCTTCTAATAGACCAACTACCAAAGTTCGAATAGGAAGCGGAACTTCAAAGGAAATTTAAAACCCCGTTGCAATACGTTAGAATACAATAAAAATACAAAAATACAACAATATCCCGGTGTACCCGACGATCCAGACATGAATTACAACTTGTATCTACCGGAGGTTTAATCGCGTGATATAATTTACAATTTCGTTCTGAACACGAACGTTCCCGGTTATATGAGTGTTTGTATCCAAGAATTAACTGTGTTTATGTAACTTTGTAATCAGGGCAACATTGCCGTGGCTCTGGCAAATTATACCAGAGCTAAGTTGGTTTGGTAAAATGCACACTTTGCATTGAGAGCTTGTTAGTAGCTCGGTATTTGTCGTGGGATTGAGTAATAGTTACCTACAGTTTTTCAAATGGTGGTTGATGGAATAATTAATGAGCTGTATGGGCTCATCTTTCTTTAGTTTTCTCTCAAAAAGAGAAGAAAGACACGAGCTTAAAGGAAGTTTAAGACTGGTTTGCGCCATTGACCGTAACTATAACAATAACCGGTGTTTTTTTAACTATAAGACACGGGTCTTAACGCGACGTTTATTAATGAGTTACATTATGTACTCAAAGCTTGACGTTTCGGCTGCGATGTTTTTTGTTTAGAGTTTGACAGATTTTTGACGTTTGTTAAAGTTAAAGTAGGATTGTGCAACTCAGCTTAAATATTACTTAAATAACAAACGAATTAATACTATGGAAAAGTGGTAAAAGTTATTTGTTCATACCTAGAAAATACAATTAAATAGTAGAGTTATTTCATAACAACACTTGCAAACTTGTCTGTTATTATTCCCAGTTCGCAAGTCACTTTCTAAAACTTCTGTAACCATTAACTAAAAGTTGAGATGATAAGCGATAAATATTTCAGTTGAGTATGAAAATGTAACTTCTAAAATCTACCAATAGCTACAAAAATTATGAATCCAATTTATATTTCCAGAGCTTATTAGAGGTACCTTTATCTTAAAAACATCAATCGGTCATGGTCATTGGTCATGGTATTTTATTAAAAAGAGAATCTTTGTGAGTTCGTTTATAAAAATCTTTGGAAATTACTATTCCTACTAATTCTTCCACTATCAAAAGACTGTGTAAGATATTATCCTAGAACTGGATGAAAAAAACCCAATGTTTACTATGACTCTCATTTGGTCCAGGAGAAAGCAACGCGCTCGGCGTTTCACCAGTGCTGGCATCAATAGCAGCCATGTCGGCGCTGCTGGCTACAGCAGTGTGCGGGGTCCTAGCCGTCCTGTATAGAAGACACGCCGCGAGACACAGACATTTGCCCGCCAAACACGCACCTTTGAGGTAAGTGATAGTAACCCTCAAAATTTTGAAGTTCAAAATATGCCTTATAGTTTTTAAGGTCATAGCAGACTTATCAACTCGTAAGGGGATCAACACCGTATCGCCCTTCTGCTGTCGAGCTGTCGTCGCCTTTCGTGCGTTGTCAACCGCAATGGCGTTTACATTACGGTGCGGATAAGTGTGCGTTGCAGTATGGAGTTTCACACGAAGAATACTGACCGCCTCGAGTTGATACGGTTACGATCCCTTTCCGGGTTTATAAGTGTGCTACTTCCTTTATTCGTAAATGCGACCCACGTAAGTAACACTTATGCCATTAGATATGTATGTCGATCCAATATTCTAGAATGTATTCCACTGCGATGCAAGTTAGTGCGAAGGACCCCACATCCTTCCACACGTAATTGAATTAGTGGAAATTGTATACTAATTACTATTTTGCGACTATAAAAATGCGTCTATATCTCATCATATTTCCATAGTATCTACTCAATTAAATGGCTTCAATTCCCTTCGATCATTACCAATCAACAAATAATTTACTCGATACTAAATGCCAAAAATAAATCATCTCGTATAATTTAATTTGTTAACTGAATATTCAAAGCCAATAAACAAAGTGGGAGCGGTGTAAATAGGGGAACTTTCCCGGCGAAGTCCAAGTTCGCATTTTAATTTAAGTCCTTATAAGTTCTGATAGAGCAGACGATTTTGCGAAGTCTTCGGAGCGCCGGCTAACAAGAATATCTTGGAAGAATTTATGAGAGTAACGTGTTTTAACGTTTTCAAACTAATTTAAGCCAATAATGTTTGGCTTTGGCTCTTGATAGCGATTTGTGAATAGAAATCGCAATGGCACGTGTGAACTACTAGAGGGAAGGAGAATAAATAAACTTTTGCTTTACTCCGAAATTTGCCTCTTCATAGGTAGGTCAAACAAAGTAGGAATAAAAACGATCGCGCGTAGTCACTATAGATCGTTTCATCCACGAAGACGCGCCCCATCATTCTTCCGCTTATGTTTGAGTGTTATCGGCACACGCTAAATCATTCATGAGTGCACACGCACACTACAATAATGACGCTCGGATTGCTCGGATCAAAATCCCCGCACCCCGCGCTTCCCTTGACCAAAAATTGGTGGGGCACGTCTTCGTTGATGAAACGATATATACCTTTGATTCATAAGACCGTGCTTCTAATCCCATTTCTCCTTAGCAGTGAAGCAATGTACGTGGAGCGGGCTGGCCACTGCCCCACGCCGGTGAAGCACGAAGTGGAATCCCGGGCCAGCAGCACGGAACCCCGGGGAGACGGCTTCGGGGCGCGCGGGGCGCTTCTACACGCTGCCGACCCCCGGGACAATGATGACGCTGACCCGGATATCATACCTTGTTTATACGGTTAGTTGGAGGTAGTTAGATAAGTCCTATGCCATAGCACGAGTTTAAGTCCCGGGCTTATAGCACGGAGCCCGGGGGATACAGCTTCAGAGCACGAGTGGTTTGCACGCCACTTACCTCTGGGACAAAGACGACGCTGACCTATCCGGTTCAGCATATAGTATCCACCATACTTGTTTATACGGTGAGTTGGAGCCAAACGAAACTGATAATCATCGTTTCGGTGGTATCATACCAGGAAAGATAATATGTAAGCTCCGAAGCAATATGTTGCTCTGGGTAGCCCAGGACTAGTTGTAGTGAAAATTTTTGGAACAGGCCTTTGTACAGCAATAGCAATGGACGTGTTTTGTTGAAAAGAAGAAGAATGTGTTACACATTAGTTTTATAATTAAGGGGAGTCTTCATCATTATTTCAGCCACAGGACGATCACTGCTGAACATAGACCCCCTCAATATTTTCTGATTGGCCGGTTGGTAGTAGCCTGTATCTGTATTGCGTATCGGTCAGGTCAATCCCTGATTTCACAAAAAAGGCTGTAATACAGGAGGAAAGGCGACAAATTGTACACCTAGCCACCAAGGTGTGATGACTACGACAACTCTGTCTAGAGTGGAGTGATGAAAGATGGATTAATTGGTTCAGATGTAGAAAGATTGCCAATCATTAACCCGTTCAATCTCCCCACCAGAGCGGCGGCCAGTCTCCAACGGCTACATGAGCCTGCAGCGACCGCCGTCCACCAGCAAGCTGCCCAAGCTGGGCGAGGACGTGCGCTCCGAGCCCGACGGCGGCGCCTACTTCACAGACTTCAGGAAGAAGGACTATAGGATACCTTTAACTAGTGTGAGTAGACTTATCTTTAATTAAGCTTAATCACAGGCCAATGACAGGTCGCGCGACCCATGACAGTCCGCGCCTATCCGTGACTGTCATTGCTAAGATCACGCCGGCGATGGCCATCTTCACGTCTTGTTGTGGTTGAAGAATAAAAAGATACGAGTGTTCATCCACTAGCAGATTTCCTAAAAAGGGCGACTAGACAACAGAATTTAAAGCGTCTACTTCACTGGCTTATAATGGAAGTCGGACTTTATTAACCATTAAGTACACAATTATCTCCTAATTGTCATATATCAAACAAAAACTGGCGATGATAACAGAGTACTTTCTTGTAGTAGTTTATCCTCCACTTTTTTTTAACACCAGCCGATATATTCTCCCAATGAGCTAGCAAGGTATATTTGGAATGCATTAATGCCTTGAAAAGCTGAAAGAGGCAATCGAAGAATTGGGATTTAGTAAATTATCGTACCAGTATTAGCAATAATAATTTTATCTTTATCATAAAGACACAACAAATAGTGACTTTACTATCCTTGTTCCAGTCATATCATAGCTTAGGGCGCGTGAACAAGGGAGTGAACGCGTGTAGTCCCAGTTCGGCGGGTGGAGTGACGTCATCGCTCACGGCCCACCGTCTGCGGCCAGAGGTCGTGACGACCTCACATCGAGTCCAAGAGAGCTGTATATAAGATATCCCTCCGATGTATATAGTAAATTAAGCATTGGCGGTGCAGCGATTACTGATAGTGCAGGTTAGTAAATGGCTATGATTTGTGTAAGGCTAGAGAAATACATTGACACAGCGTTACAGAATTTTATGATTAAGCATCTGCATGAATGATCCTAAGAAATGAAAACTGTCTAATAGAATTCATTTTTTCGTTAACATTTTTTTACAGAATGGTTGAAATGTTCAACCTTTTAAAGAATTAAAAATCTTTTTACATTGCAAATGGTAATATTTTGAATTTTAAATATAAAAATAATGAAAAAAATAGTTGTCACTTTCAAACAGACGTTTATCTAATGATAGATAAGTTTAGTTTTAAGCTTTTTTTATACTTAGTTTTAATAAGAAACTATAAGTAATCGCTGCACCAATCATTGACTGTGTTCCTTTGATAGTCTAACCTTTTGTAAATTACCATTTTACGAATTTGTGTGCGAATATGACTGTAAGTGAGTGAATGTGGAAATTGAAACGGCTTTGCGAAAAAACATGACGTCTTGTGTAAAAAAGACGTTGTTTGCTTTACAACAGATTTCTTGGTTAGGTCTTTATTGGCAATAAAATTAAGACCTGAGGCTAATTTTTAAAAGACTACAAATAATTCCTACTTCTAGTCAGAGTTTCCCCTTTAAACATATCTTTTACATGTATGTAGGTAGTTAAAGATACATATCGATACTAAACCTTCCATTATAGTCCCTTACCCTAAACCTTTCAAATGTGTACTATTTAATTTCATCCGATAAAACACAGCCATTCTGTTTTGTTGTTACATTAAACAATTTTTAAAAAACAGGTCAAACAAGTTCGATAAATTCACATTCTACAGTCGGCGTCAAATAGTTCGTAACACCCAAAATGGCCAAAAACTTGACAACACAAACCTATTCCAATTGTTACAAAGACGTGTTGCGAACTTTTTGGCTACTTTGGGTGTCACTATTTGATGCTGACTGAACCCATAAAAACTACATGAACGTTTTTCGCAAAGCCGTGATAAACTTATTAAGCCCTAACTTTTGTATTTTGATTGGATGATAATTAATACCTACCTCAAATTTTCTACGTCTTCTTATATCGAAACCTTATCTAAAACGCTGTATCGAAAATGTCTAACGTTAATTTTAGTTTAATACCTGTAGCACAAATTAATGACTGACTCTTCTTATTAATTTTATTACTTAGTTTTAGATGAGAATGAACGAACTAAATTAATATTGTGTGTATGAGTAAGTACCTAACTTTATATTGGTTTATTTATTTTTGCTTCTATTCATATTTTGCTGTCACAAATACCTACAAATAATTACAAAATATTATTACCTATTTGTCATAATGTTTACTCAGGCTAGGTTGCAACATTTTACTTTGACTTTGACAAACGTCAAAAATCTGTCAAACTCCATACAAAAACACCGGTTATCGTTAAAGTTACGGTAAAAGTTAGGTGGTGCAACTCATCCTTAGACATTTGCCGCTAGAGGTTCGAAAGCGTTCATCATTAAGATCTAACCAATTTTAAAATCAATGTTTTTCCACGAGCTCTCGTAAAAACCCTAAACCAATTATTTTTTTACAGTCAAACAAGAAAATCTGAAGTCGAATATCCTTTAACCTGCTAAATAATAATATAGTCGTATAAGAACCCACGAGAATTGTCAGTTACCCACAAAATGTGGCGGGGCATTGAGAATTTGGGTTTGCTCCGGGATGCCGGGGTAATGTCACGGGTAACATTTTTGTCGAAGTGAGAAATTATGCGGCCACGAAAGTAGCGATTGGTGAAGCCATTGGATTTTCAATTACGACGCATTCAAGACAATCACTTACTTTTCCGTGAAGCTACGTTACATAAAAAGGTAATTATAAAGCTTTTGAACAATACCATTCAGTTTCAAATCAAATTAAAGTAATAATGATGAACAAGTTTAGTTAACTTTAGTAATAATAAATAAATAAGTACGTTCAACGTTAGGTACGTCGATCCAACTATAATTGTTGGATAAAATCGCTCTCGCTCCCGCTTAGCTAAACGCTTGTTCCCTGGCCCCATTCGCACGTTCGCGGCCACACGCAACTCGTCGTTAAACGTAACGACAACATTTATCTATAGTTAACGTGTCAGTTTGTCTGCTCGTAACATTATGTCTCGGCCGGCCGATTGTTTAACGTCTAAATCGATGGCTCCTACGTATACTGGCGTAAGTGAAAAAAGTAAATTTTACAGGAGAGCCATTTTAGTGGCCAGAACCATATTTTTGGGTCATATCTTCTGACCTACTAAAACGAATTTAATGAAATTTCACATTTAGCCTTAACATGTAATGCTTTTGCTACTGCTGTTATCAATTTTTATATTTTTCTTATATATTTTGAGATTTTACGCATTGCCCTTTTACGTCGTCATATTTCTATGATTTCATGTATATTATTCAACGTAAAGAGACTTAAATGACAACGTAAATATAATATTTTAAGCTATTACTCTCTTTATTTATGCATGTAATTATTTTAATTGTTATCATGTGCTATATCAATAATAAATCAGTTACAAAAAGTCGTTTAATGTATCGTTATTACGTTTTAACGCAAATACGCCCATATACTGTGCTCGAGATTTAGTTAGGTCTTTTAACATAATGTGTCATATTTTNCGTGACTCACACTGTATTTGTTTTCAAAGTTCCACCACTTCCACCAATGCGCTTCTTTTGAATTGAAAACTTTTGTTTTCACGTTGGACTTTACTAGTCCTCCATACAGCAAATTACGCAGGTGTTGAGTCTACAATAATATTATAAAGTGGAAAGATTTGATTGTTCGTTTGCATTGAATAGGCTCCGAAAGTATTAAATTGATTGGATTAAAAATTTCACCATTAGAACCCTACATTATTTCTGATGCACATAGACGATTGAATATTAATTAATAACAGTGCCAAAATATCGGAAACTCATAGCAATCCTATGAATATTAAAAAAAAATAGTAAAAAAATTCGATAAATGTAATATTTTTAAATAAATTATGCATTTTCCGCAATTAATTGACCGCTCATGTCAGACGTTAATTGATTGGGCGATACGGAGTTCTCCGGGTCAGCTATATATTGTATTATTACGTTTGCAACACTGCTACACCACAATTTTCTCAAAATACCCGGTCCCAATAATGTCGAACACCCGATATTTGAGAGGAAACTCTATGATCGCTTTGAACAGCTTGCTATACATGTAAATCCATTTCCATGTTACTGTGTAGCGGTACCACGATTTAAATTGAATATTAGGTGCTAGCGGAGATTGTAGCGGAGTTCGGCGCACGTAGTAGTTAGCTATCAACGTAGTTTGCCTAATGGAGGTAGATACAGCATGTCCTCTTTGCAAGAACAATGAAATTTGAAATATTAGCGTTGGATTATTGTGTGAAATCGATATAAATCGTCTGTTTTCGTGTTTCCTGTAAATTACGAAGGGTTAATTCAAGTTGTTGATAAAACTCATCATGTCAGTCAATGACCGTACTTATGGACATAAACCTCCCAAAACTACGATCTTTTTTATGCATTACTAGGCAGGTATACTATTTGACCACAATCGCACCTGGTGTTAAGTGGGATGCAGTTATCTCCTGTCTTCTTTAAGTATCCACAATTGCTAATGTTACCCAGCTACCTTCACGAGGTCATCGGTCCATCGAGCAAGGATCCTACACTTTATTTTTTTTGGAAATTATGCAATAATACTTCTCCGTTCACATTAAATTAATATCAAGACACATAATTTAATGATCTGTGTAATGTTTTAACGCGACAGCTTAATGCGTCTACTGAATCCTTTCCTCTTATATCCCGAACCATCGTAGTTCGGTGTCGTACCTGAATTTGAATGAGCCCTTTTTGCTAACAACGTGCAAGTTGCTCGACAATCGACACTTCTAAGACAAGGTGTGGGATACACGTGGTTGCATTTTTTAAATGGCCATCCACGCTAGAAGTAAGCCTCTAAAGATCAAGATTTCTTACTTTAATCATCCACCATTGACAATGGTGCCAAGCTATCTTCACCAGGTCATCGTTCCATCGAGCAGGGAGAGCAACTTTATTTTTTGGAAATTATGCAATAACTAATACTTCTCCGTTCACATTAAATATCAACACACATAATCTAATTATCTATGTAATGTTTTAACGCGACAGCCTAATGCGTCTACTGAATCCCTTCCTCTTATATCCCGAACCATCGTAGTTCGGTGTCGTACCTGAATTTGAATGAGCCCTTTTTGCTAACAACGTGCAAGTTGCTCGACAATCGACACGTCTAAGACAAGGTGTGGGATACACGTGGTAGCTTGTTACACTAGTTAGCTAATTCAAAGTTGGCTTTGCCGAAGTTGTAACTAACTTGTAACTGTTGTGGAAGTAAGGCAATAAATTAAACAGGATAGTACTATGTGTATTTCTAGCTCTGTAGCTTGTTGAATAAATTAAGCGCAATATTATGACTATCACTTAGGTAACAAATGAGAACAACTGTTTACGAAGAGTATTATAAGGTAAACATAAAAAAATTAAGTCAAACATAAAAAAAAAAGATTTATTTGCCTAGTGCATATTTGAGCAAGACAATATCGTTCGCAGAAGTTGTCATTTCTTTTTGTATTCAAATCGTCTTACTCTATTTACCTAGTGAAATTTAACTATTCTTATTAATAATAACCTCATTCTCGTTTATAAATATATCCACTCTGCTGAACCCCAGGAAACATGAGGTGTAAGAGCCTCCTCCTTTTTTGAAGTCGGTCAAAAATGAAAATTGATTCTTCAGGATTTATCTCTAAATAATTATAATACTTGCAATCAAGTCGTTCCTCGTAATAGAAGAGAGCACTAAACTAAATCCACAGTTTCCACTGCCGCGGTCAGAACTTTCATTTCAACTTAGATAAACTATTTCGTTGCAAATGTTATTACTGAGAAAACAATTCCCTCCCAATTTAGGGCGTCTGCACACGGCGCTTTCTGCATCCAGTTTCCAGTCGCACAATGGGATTAGATCTAATTGTATAAAG